TCTCGGGGCTGGGAAATGGTGCTTTGAGACTTAGTGGAGGTGCTTGCCATTGTGCATTTGTCTAAACCGCAGAGCCTACAACAGGAAGAGTGGGAATTACCCAGTGGTAATGTCAGTTCTGGCTCAGCATTTGTGATGAATGTACCACATCAATTCCAGTTGTTACTAGAAACTGAGCCAGGAGTTAGGGAGATATATGAAGATTCTGTACTCAATTTTCTGTATGCCTAAGGCTAGTTTTAAAAATCTATTTTAGTTTGGCCTGTGGAATACGCCTTTAATATAGCGTTTGGAAAGCAGAGGAAGATGGATTTCTCTTGAGTTCCAGGCCAGTCTGGGCTACATAGTGAGACCATGTCTCAACACACACACACACACACACACACACACACACACACACACACAGAGAGAGAGAAAGAGAGAGAGAGAGAGAGAGAGAGAGAGAGAGAGAGAGAGAGAGAGAGAGAGAGAGAGAGAGGGTGTGTTTAGAAGCCAAGAGTAAAACAAGGACTTTTTCTTTGATGATCAGTCCAAGGAAACCTGGTCAGGGAGGCATGTTCTTATCCTGAGCTTTGATGTTTGATGTTCTCCAGTGAGGTGCAGCTCTACTTGGCAGCAGCTAAAAGCCCAACATGTTGAACCTAGTCTGCTCTTAGAAGCAAGGATTAGGTAGGCTTCCTCTGCCTGTCGGGGTCTGAGCCTTGCCCCTTGCATAGGCCATGTGAGGACATTAATGTCCCAGTTAGAATGGAGCATGGCTCGGGAGTCTGATCTGTGTTTTAAGGTCCATATATAAATTCTGTGCCATTTTGAGAATGCCAGTGAAATACAGGTGGGATCTATTGAGCTTGTACGCAGTAGCCCCAGCCAACTTACTGCCCCTCCCCCTACACACATACCAAGAATGGTCTGGTTGAATAACTGCATGTTTTCATTTGCATAAACAAGCTCTGGAAGGTTGGGGAAGTAGTAAACACGGTGGGAACTGGCTGATGGGGAACGGAGTGGCAGCAAGGCTTCACTAAGTGCCTCTTCATAGATTGTTTTTACTTTGAACCACATAAAATTGCCCATGAAAACAAGTGTTGGGCTAGGAGTAGAACTGAGTGCTCGAGCAGTAGCCTACCAGTTCGAGAACCCTTGGTTCAGTTCTCAGGAGTGAGAAACAGTTACTCCCGGGTAAACAGAAGAAAAAGAAGTAACATCTTTCATTAGTCCAATTTAATGGGTTGATTTTTCAATTACCAAAAATTCAGATGCAGATAAATCTTTTGTGGAACAATGACCTGATGTGGATCACTTTTTCTTTCCTTCAGAGTTATTATTGTTCACAGTTTACATGGCATGAAAAGTCATTTTTTTTTCCTTCACTAAAGCCTTTAGATTTGGTCCTAGTCTTTTCTGGTTTGTCAGTGCATTTCGTGTTAGGAATAATCTCTTTAAATCACAAGTTAAATAGTTCTTCCTGAAGCTTTCTCTGAAGAATTTTGTACAAATATTAAGAATTATCTAAGTGGGGTTATTCAGTTCTTGCTAGTTCACTAAAGAACTAGCTCAAGAGCTGAAAAAGTTGAATCAACAGCTTCCATATTTCTATAAAACTCGATTTATAAAGTAAAGGGTTCATTTGCTGGGTGTGGTGGCACATGCCTTTAGGATTTTTGTGAGTTCAAGGCAAGCCTGATTTACATAGTGAGTTCCAGACCAGCCAAGACTATATAGTGAGTCCCTGTTGTTAAGAAAGAAGGAAAAATAAGTAAAGAATTTATCTGGAAATTATAACTTTAATCTAGTGGATAATATGTTGTATATTTCCTGATTGTGAATAGTATAGTATATAGGTACTAACTTAAAGCTCATAGTTTTATAACTTGATTTGTAAATACTCTGAATACTAAAAATGGTTACATCATTTATCTTTAGTATGTTACTTTCTGCTTGTGGCATGTTTAACTCTGAAGACTCACATGAATCAGCATTCTTGTTGTTAAAAGATTTCAGATAAGTGTGCTGGTGGGATGGCTCTGCTGGTAAAGGCTCTTGCTACAGGTCCAATTGCTGAGTTGGATTCCTGGACCCCTAGGATGGAAGGAGAAAACTGACTCTTGCAAGTTTTCCTCTGACCTCCATCTGTTTGCTGTGGCATGTGTATGTGCAAGCCTATATGAGTATCCATACTCAGACACAAATGAAGTGTGAGGAAATGAAAAACTAAGACTCAGCATAAGTTTACTTATTCTAGATTAGTAACTGTTACTTAGAGTGATAAGGATTTATTAAAATATGTGACACCAAAGTTTTTCTTTTATTGTATGTGTGTATATATGTGTATTTTTTTAAGTCGGTAAATTTGATTTCATGTTCACAGTGATGTGTAAATTAGATTATTTGCACTTGCTTCCTAGCTTTGTTCTGAGTTTAGAGATGTTAATAAGGTGGTTGTGAGTTGACACCTCAGGAATGTTTACGCTTTTATCACATTGTATTGCATGGGTTCTTCTAAAGATCAGTTTTGAAATAATGACAATTAGACCAGTGCCAATGCAGAGGTAGTTTTCACATGGAATATTAGAAAATGAATCCTGTGACAACAATAGAAATGCTGCCCTGGAAGTCAGGAGACCTTCGATCTCTGCCAGTAACTAGCTCAGTTGCAGATAGGACGCTGTGGGTCTCATCTCGAGTGTGCAGGGCGGAGGCTTAGACTCCAAATGCCCAAGGACTATGCAGCACTCGTGCCCTAAGGTTCTCAGACTCGAGAATTGTTTGGAATAGTTACTATAACGCAGAAATGACCTATTTCAGTTTTTCAAAAGAAGAAATGAGTTAAGAAATCAAAACTATAGAAGTTTCAATGCCCTAGTGTAGAGGAATGCCAGGGCAGGAAGGCCAGAGTAGGTGGGTGGGTAGGGAGCACCCTCATAGAGGCTGGGGGAGGGGGATGGGATAGGGGCTTCCAGAGGGGAGACCTGGAAAAGGGATGACATTTGAAATGTAAATAAAGAAAATATCTAATAAAAGAAAAAAATCAAAACTACAGCTTGTGACTAGATTTAAGTGCAGGTCAGACTGACTCTGGAAACATGCTTTGAGGTGTAAAAATCAATTAAAATTAAGAGAGATGTTAAATGCCAGTGTAAGTTTAGAAAAAATAATTATTACGTTATAGGACCAGTAATTAGGTCCTATGATATGTTGAAAGACTATATATTCTTTCACATATTCTGTGGCTGATACATTTACCATGTTCAAAAGTGTTTATGAATCAACCAAAATATCAAAGAGCAGCATGCAAAAGTACAGGTCCATTTCTTTGGGGATGAAGAGTGGAGAGAGGTAGAGAGAAAAAACCAGAAACACGTGAAAAGGTAAACAGTCATTTTTCCTTTATATAAGAACAACATGGGTTTCTTTTTATAATGTATCTCCTGTACTTTTCAACAATGGACACACTTTTCAACTCGTGCGTGCGTGCGTGCGTGCATGCGAGTGTGTTTGTGTTTCAAGACAGGCTTACTCTATATAGATCTGGCTTTCCTGGAACTTACTCTGTAGACTAAGCTGGCCTTGAACTCAGAGATCTGCCTGCCTCTACCTCCCACATGCTGAAATTAAAGGTGTGCACCACCACTGCCCAGCTTGAACATAAACTTTTGTAATGGGGGGAAAATGGCTTTAAAAATAAGCAATTTAATTCAAGCCTTTGAATTAAAAAATTAGAAAGGCTTCATGTTGATCTGCCTGCCTCTGGGCCAGACTTGGCCTGAGCATCTTAGGAAGTTTCTGTTTCAAGATCTCACTAGGATGAGCCACTCTGCCTTGTGGACTGTTCTGAACCCAGTCAACTGCACGAAAGCAATTTGCTCTTCTTTCTATTATATAAGGATCCTTCCACTCCCATGGGCGGAGGCACATTTGGTGGCACAGTCATGTGATCCAAGCATTTAGGAAGCTGAGCAGGCAGCTCAGCAAGGGGATTTGAGGCCAGCCTGGGCTACATAATGAGACCCTGTAGGAAAAAGAAAATTATTTTTTCTAAAATAAGAGGTCTAGTGTAATGTCCTTGCATGGAAGCAAAACACTTCCTCCTCCTGCCTTGGTTTTATGTACTGTTCATCCACACAGTGAAGGACGTTGAATTCAGATACTTGGTAGGAACAAAGGACAGATCTCTGTTCACACAGGCTCTGGCTGTTCATCCTTAATGTTTTCTAGCAGTGGCTTTGAAAACAGGCCTGATCTTTCTTTTGGGGACTTAGCACACTCTAGTGGACAGTAGCTTTTCGGTCACCACAGTTTTATTTATCATGTCAAGTTACTTTATTAGGCAGTTCATTTATGTGCTTCCGGGCAGTAAAGTTTGTCAGATTGTATTTAAGTGGCGACCCTCATGAGCAGGAGGAACTTGGTCACTGCCAGGGTGGTGTGCGTTTTCATGTGGCTTTACTAGGAAGACGAGATTCTCTGTAGTGTGAGGAAGCTGGCTTTTCCTGGGTGCTTCTCATCTTCCCTGGGGTGACAGGCATTTGATAGTTGAGGCTGAGATACAGAATGTATGTAGTTTTCCTCAACTTCCCATTGCTCTGCCTTGTACATTTAAATGTATTTTATATGTATGGGTGTTTTATCTTCATGTATGTCTGTGTACCTACCACTTGTGCCTGTCTTGGGTACATGAAGGTCAGGAAGGAAGCATTGGGTCCCTGCAACTGGAGTTACAGACAGTTGTGAGTCACATGTGGGTGCTAGTAATTGAACCTCTGTCCTCTAGAAAAGCAGTCAGTTCTTTTAACTGCTGAATCATATCTCCAGCATACCCATCCTCCCTGTCTTACCATGTGTTTCATATTTCTAAGACGCACAGTTTTTTATACACCACTTTGTAAAATGTTTGAGTGTGTATAAGCGTGAGCATATCCTATCCTAGTAGATTGGTTTGGGCTTTTTTTTTTTTAATATGAACTGCCAGCAAAAAGGTAATCTTTATTTGTTTCTTACAGAGTGATGGTGAGGATCTTAATTACATTGTTGCGTTTTTCCTTGGAACAGCAGCCTGCCTTTACCAGGTACGCTTCTTCCCATTTGTAACAAACACTTCCCCATTGCTGTTTGTTTCAGATGTTGAGTCTAATAATTGCCCGTATATTTAAAATACATAAAAATGGTGTCTGAGTTATTTGCCTCTTCTATAATTTGAACCTCTGTTACCTTTGTAACCTACACTTCAATCTTGAGTTGTAGACAGATGTTCGCAGTGGACTTACTCTTAACCCTTTCTCTGTGATGGGTTATCAGGGGTGCCATGTCATGTGTCTGGGACAAAATTTTCTAGTGAGAGCCAGAGGATTTGTGTTCTGGGGGCCATGAATAGAGAGTGACACGGAAAAGTAATATTTTAGGATTTTTTAAGTAGACATGTCTTTTAGACTTACTTTTTAGTAAAGGCAAATAGGATGAATTATAAGCAGAAGGGCTGGCAGTTAGGAAACCAGTTGGGATATGATTCTAGTAATTCAGATGGAAAATAGAGGGAGTGTAAACTGTGGCAACGGCAGCAAGACAGTGAGAAGGAGCAGGGTGTGTAGGACACTCACAGAGGGGCAGAAGGAAGGAGCAGGGTGTATAGGACACTCACAGAGGGGCAGAAGGAACAGGGTGTGTAGGACACTCATGGAGGGGCAGAAGGAACAGGATGTGTAGGACACTCTTGGAGGGGCAGGTTCTATGCCTGGCCAGTGGGGAGATTGGTCACAGGAGAGATGGGAAGAATGACCCAAACTCAGGAATAATTTTGTAAGAACATAAGGAGCAAACAGGGTCCACTGATCTGACCCTTATAAGTGGCATAACATTTTGGCTTCTATGAAAAAAAAAGAAAAGGTAGGAATATTTGAAGCTTGATATGCACCTGAGACTACCCAAAATTCAGTAGAACTCCTTGGGGAAATACTTTGATAGATATTTGAACTTTATATAAGCAAACATTATACATTTTAGTTTCAGTGGCTTCACTTTAAAATCTTTAAATTTTCTTAATGTTATCTTTAGAAGTCTTATTAAATTTGACAGGTTTCATTAGGACAAATGACATTTCATACAGGTAATGTGAGGCCATGTGTTTGTTAGTGGCACACAGTGTGCTTCAGTTTGCACAGTGTTCTCTTGAGGGTTTCCCACTTTAATCCTACACCCCTGTCATACAAGATTATTGTCTCATTTATAATGAGAACAGACAGACTCTCAGTACTGTTTTGAGATGGCATAACCAGGAAAAGGGAGGCGCCAAGGCTAATGCTTCAGAGTGAGAGAGCCCGGGTTCATTCCCCCGTATCATGCTACCTCTGTGCCTAACTAAGTCAATAATCCTGCTTCTTTTTCTTTTTAAATTGTTTATACATGACCAAGTGCTGCAGCACCATTTCTTTATAAGACTATTTTCTTCCACTGAATTGCTTTTGTACCTCTATACAAACTCAGTTGGTTGTATTTTGTGAGACTTTCTGGGTTCTGAATTACATTAGTTTGGTCTATTATCCTTCTACCACAATCATATGGTCTTTATTACCCTAGCTACATACTACCTTAAATTCAATTTTCCTAATAGTTACAGAATGATACAAATTTTCTATTTTAGTGGATGAAATTATGGTAGTTTGTGGGTTTAGTGGAAGTGATCTATTTTATCTAATTTATATATATAGAATTGGTAATCATATCTCAATATTCTTTTGGTACCTACAATGTTTATGATAGTGTTTCTTTTCTAATCTTGGTAATTTATATTGTCAGAGTTGATCCTGTCAGTTTCTGTTTCACTGATTGAACCAGCTGTTGAGTCCATCAGGATTTTTGTTTTGTTTGTTTTTTCCCTCTTCTCTTTTTCTGTTTGCAATTTTATTGATTTCTGCTCTTGTTAGAAGTTGAATTGTGGACCTTTCTAGTTTTCATTTCAGTTCTGGTTTTGACTCACATGTTTTTAAACTATGTGGTTTTAGTTCATGCAAATTTAGGATTGCTCTGTCACCTTGGCAGACATGCTTTGACTCGTGTGTCATCATTTTCTTTGCTTTGAAGTATTTTTATATTTATACTTTTCCTTTTTTGATTAATATGCATGACATATCCTTTTTCGTCTTTTTACTTTTAACTTGCCTCTGTTATTTTATGCAATTTTCTGATAGTGAAATTGGTTTTTTAAGTCCATGTTGCCAATCTCTTTCTTTTAGTTGCTATATGTAAGCCATTTACATTTAATATAATTATGGATATTTGGGCTTTTTTTTTGTTCTGTTTTCATTTTTAAATTTTCTTCTATGTTTCTATAGTTTATTTGAGGCTTTAAGAATTCCACTTCAGTATTATGTATAGTATTTAAAAACCTTATGGATTTTAAAGTAGTTCCTTACTATAGGTAGCAAACAATAGATACTTGTCATAGTCTGCTACTGTTGTCGCTTCATGTTTAGTGAGATGTAGATACATTATCTCCCTAGATCTTCTGTTGTCCTCCTCTATTTATAAAACTTCTGTTTATTTCTTCCCCATATATTCCAGAACATATCAGACACTTATAATACATTTATTCAACTGTTAAACATAAACTCAAAAGGAAAAGACCACCTGTCATACTTAATTACATTGTTACTAACATGTTATTTTGTCTTAATATTACAAGTTTTTTCTTCTTTTATTTGCTTTTTTGGTTTAGTGAAGTTTTAACTATGTAATATGCTTGATCAAGGTGGTCTCAACACCTCTGCATTGCAAGACATCTTTTTCTTCATTGCCTTTTAAAAACTTCAGAGTCATCAATTTAATATTTTTTTAATATAAGAAAAGCTCTTCTTTACAGTAGAATTCCCATTAGTAGATGTAGAAAGAATGATGGAGATAAAAAGTCACTATTAAATTACCATTAAGCAAACACCTCTGTGTAATAGCTGATGCAGGTAGAGTTATCAGTGGGTGGCATATATATTCCCGTCAAGGGATCCAGGTTGACAGCACTGATAAAACATACTGCCTGGCACCTCTGTGTTGTTCTTGGCAAAATTACATATGCTTAACTCAGTCTTGGAACAGTGGACACATCCAATTTGAGGAGCACAGCTCCAGCATAACTGATGACTATGTACCAGGCCTGTCAAGGTCATGACTGAGACGCTATTACAGATTGGAGAGACGTGACAACTAAGTGCAGTACAGACTTCCGGGTGGGAGGAAGAAAGGTCTCTAACGGGACACAGGACAAAATTGAAGTCCATCAGTTACCAGTGTGATCGTGTCCTGGTGTGATGACTGTTCTGTGGTGACATAGTAGTGACACTATGGAAGACAGTACAGTTCTGCTATTTCAGAACTCCTCCAAGTCAAAAGTTTATTCAAAGAAAAAAAATATGTCTTTAAGTCTTTATTCCACAGTGAAAATCACTCTCATAAAATAAATTCTTTTATTCGTTTCATATAGATAGCAACAGATTTTTTTTTTTAACAGCAGGCAGGGTCTTACTGGAACTGTTTAGACCATAACCTACAGAGATTCTCCTGCTTCTGCCTCTCAGGTGCTGGGATTAAAAGCATTACTCTGGTGTGCATTCTTCTGTTTCAAATATAGAATAATCTTCTCTCATGTAAGAACTAATGTTTGGCAAGAACACCCTTACCTCCTCCCATTCTGAAGCCTGGATGCAGTTCCCAGAAACTGCTACTGCTTTTCAGAGACTTCATGAGTGTATACAAATCCATACTTCACAGATTGAGATTTTAGGCACATTCTAGAAAAGGATCCATTCAGTCATTAAATTTTGTATAGCACATATTATGTACTCAGCACTGTTCTAGACTCTGGAGATAAACAAATGAACAAAATAATTAAGTCTTCGACTGTCAGGAGCTATAGATGACAAGCAAAATAAGCATGTTTGTAACATGTTGTGGGAAAAATAAAGGACAAAGGGAACAATACTAGGGCTGGTGGATGGGGGATGCTTCCTTTACTGTCTCATTGAAATAGCACTCACTGCCGTTCTTTGTCCCCTTTTTTACTTTTCAAGATATAACTGCTTTAAGTTAAATGATGAAAATGTGCTAATAGCACTCCGTTCGTCCAGTGGAAGCCCAATGAATGATTTTGTTTGTTTCTGTCACAGCTGAGGAACAAGGCCCAATTCCTGTGGCTCCCCACTCCCCCTCCCCAACCTGAACCCCCCCATCTGAACCACCCCCTGCTGTTCATCACACCTTGTTGCTTTCTATACCCCTCAGACTCCAGTTGTGGGAAAGTCCTTCTTCCTCAGTTGTTTGTTGACTTTTCTGTGCTTTCCTGGGTACACATGGCACACGCCGAGAGCCCAGGGCTGAGAGCTCAGCAGTGTAACTATCCAGGTTCCCTGTTACCATAGAGAATTTCTTCAGTCTGTCTTACAGGGAGTTACCCAGATGTACTTCCATTTAGCATATGATGAAGAATGCTTTTCTTCTGAAAATGAAAGACATAGGCGGGAAGATCTGTTTCCCTTTCCAGCCATGGAACTTCCATGACTGAATTTCTCCAGTAGCTTACATTATCTCTCTTCTCTGGGACTACCTTCATTTTCTTCTCATGTTTTATCCTGATTTGTTACATATCTAGTTCTTTTCCTGTAACCTAACCAACTTTCATTTTTATGTTTTGAACAGTGTTATTTACTTGTGTACTACACCACCTGGCGGAATGTCAAATCATTTCTGACTTTTGGCTTAATCTGTCTGTGCAACATGTATCTCTACGAACTGCGTAACCTCTGGCAGCTTTTCTTTCATGTGACTGTGGGGGCATTTGTTACACTGCAGATCTGGCTGAGGCAAGCCCAAGGCAAGGCTCCTGACCATGATGTCTGACATCTCAGACCTTCAGATGATTTGCCTTTGCCTTCCGGGGAAGAAGGAGAGGACATAAATTAGTGGCCACTGTGACGAAGAAACCAGTCACCACACATGAGAAGCTCTGCTTTCTTTCTCTGCCCATTTTTGTTTTACAAATCAGCCTGGCATGCCCGTGAGCGTGTGAGACCTGGTGAGAAAACTCCCATAAGGATCCTGCAGTGGAATGTCAGGCCCATCACAATACAAGAAGTTCAGCATCACCTGAAGACCTGGCAGTCAGCACTGAATCCTCACTAGAGAGTTAAGTGAAGCTTAGTCATGGGACGTGCACTGAGGACCAAGCAGAAGTGCTACAACCTGAGTTTGCCTTTGTGAGGCATTAGTGTAGACCATTGAAGGGGATGCTGCAGGAACTGGAAAGCTCCGATCTCAAACAGCCACTGTACTAAGTGTCAGATTCTTTGCACAATTATAGTACCAAGAGTTTATGAAGCCTAGAATGGCATGAAATTGTTTTTTTTACTTTTCTGTTTCTGCCACCTTCTAACTCTGGAGATCACCTGGTGTGGGAGTGGCCTGTGATGCACATCTCTACAATGTCACAAGTCCTGACAACACAGTGATGTGTGTTTTCTTTCTAGACCATGTTTATCATTCTTTTGAATCACTAAAAATACACAATTCATTTGACTATTTTGGTCTTCCAAACTCTTATCATTTGGGTACTATGTATGCTATTATTTGCTTAGTTTCTAACCTTTAAAATCTTAAAGTATTTAATAAAGAAAGGAGCCCCTACTCCAAGTGGAAAATCAGTATCAGTTTGCCAGCACACAGTGAAATGCTAAGTTCTTACAAGATACTGATACCTACCAGGGCTCTAGTCCTGAGTGGCACACTCATTGTAATAATGAGGTGTTGCCTGGCACCAAAATGAGAGCCCTGTGGAATACTCCAAGGATAATGGGAAACTGCAAAGGCAATGGCATTTTCATGGTGGCACAGCTCTGGTTAGTTATGGTTTGCACCCAAAACCATTTCATTTGTTCCAGAGGTGCTGAGTGTGAGAAATGGGATTTCCCCTGACAATTCCTGTTACTTCATGGTTTGGGGAGCTAACTAGTATCCAGAAGAAATAACACTCTTATACCTGTAGGAAGATTATTCAAGCCATTTTGAATTCATAATATAGAAGCACAGCTTGATTGTATTTGCAAAAATGTACAAGTCACCTGGTTTGTATTCATCATGAATGATTTGCCTTTGTTTTTAAAGAAAAGATTCCAAACAGAGAATGCATACAATTCTATATTTTATATCATCCCCCCCCCCAACAATGGGACTTGGTATGTAATTCCTTCAGGGACTGTAATTACTTGGTTGAAGGTGTCTAGAGGGTCAGGTCACTGAACTGCCTCATCTGCCTAACCCATTGTGTGGATACTTGCAGAACTAGAAGATCTTCATATGTGGAACCTTCACTGCCCCTCCATCCTATAAAATAAGGTAGAAGGAAGGCAGTAAGTGGATTTATGATGTCTATGGTTTATTTAAAACAAGAAACTCCAAATCTGTCTAGGTTTCTGTTGTAACAAAGCTGCTGACAAAGTTGTCGTGTACCTTCTCAGAGATGCCCCAAGGCATCACATGGGCCTAAGACATCAGAGCCACATGGACTATGTTTGGCATTTTATACTTATTGAGCCTTGTAAATAAAGTGGTTCAACTTAGGAAGGCTTCCTAAACTAGTGAGTGGGTAGAGCAGAAGATATTTCTTATAATAGTTAGTCAACCAGGAAGCTCGAGCTGTCTGATCAATTGTGGCTTTACTATGTCCTGGTATTTGATAGCTCTTACGAGTTTGGTTCAAAAGCTACCTCAACATCACTAAGTTGTCTTGCAGTGTTTAGTGTTTGAATCTGTTCAGCAGGGACACTTGAAAAATCACGAGTTATTTCTAAAAGCTTGTTTTTCTGACTGTGTTTTCACCAGCTGTTTTGGGTTAAGAGGGTGTTTACATCTTTAATGTAAAGAATGAAACAGCTGTAAGTAATCTTTTCTTATACCACTGCCATTTTCATTATTTGGAATGTGCATTCCTAAGAGGGTACATGACTACCATGATGTTGTTCAAGAATCTCTAGGCTTGTCATGGGCCTAGAGAATTTCTTCAGTGTCTAAGCTGTAGCACTGATAGCAGCTTGTATTTGAAGTGCACCTTTACTCCTAAGTGTTCCCTCCCTCAGGGTCCTTGTGAGGTCTGTGTGGCTGTGTTTGTGTTACGTGGATGCAATGGAGTAATCAGATCCCTGGCTTATACGTCACATAGCTAAGTACACGTGCGCTAATCTCGCACCAAGCTCTTTGACTAGTGTGGGACTAATGGCTCTGTTTGTGACGACAGTCTTCCCAGTGTGTGTTAATGGACATTTATCTTAATTTAACCAGTTTGAAATGCTGCCTGTTGACTGCGCCAAGAACAGATACTCTATCATAATCTAAAAGTATTTGCTTTATTTGTCTGGGTTTGAAACTTACTCATACTGAGTCTTTTCCCTGAAAGAACAACATGCCAAGAAAAGCCACAAAAGACAGTGCTGACAAAAGCTGAACAGAAAGGGAGACAGACCAGAAGAGTGAAGGGCTAGACCTGCCACTGTGGCTCAGAGGGTGTGACTCGGTGTCCAGAAGCTGGGGTCAGAAGGGAGCAACTTAGACAGGGCTCTGTCCAAGATAAAACACATTCTAGATAAGGCCTCCTGTACTGATGAATTTGGTAAAAATGTTCTCTCTTGGGGTCCTGGGAAGTGCTAAAATGAGGTGAACTCTTAAATAGACATTGTATTTGCATATTGTGTAGATTATCTATTTGTTGCAGGCTTCCATTTCTATGTGTGAGCATGTGTGTGTGTTTGTGCATATGAGTGTGTACAGATTTTATTTTGTTGCCATAATTAAGAATTCTTGCCCTGAACTAAGAACAAGTACCTGTTAAAGCTTGAAAATCCATCTGAGACAAATGGATCATGGAGAACCTTTACCCAGTTTTGTAATTTATAAAGCAAATGTGCTATTCCAGTTTAACACAATTCTTTCTGCTTTGTAGGGTTTTTTCACAGCAGACTCAAGTCTGGAAAAGTGCATTTCGGTTAGACCATGTCAGGAATGTCTCTCAGCTATGGCTTTGCCAAGGCTCCACTGAGGCCAGGACCTTGGCCTGAGACTTTGCCTCTGGTGCAGACCCAGGTTGACTCCTCTGTGCTCCTGTAGTATGCTGACCTCCAAATGAATACTTAACTTGGCCTTTTTTCTCCAGAAGGCTTAACCTAAGGACACACTGCTGGATTTCCAGGGGAGTATGGTGGAGTGTGTGCTTATCACTTGTTCTTTAACAAGCTAAAATAACTTTGTTAGAGCTGCCATGGAGTATTTGGTTAAAGAACAAGTAACTGATTTCAAAAGCATCCACCACTTAGACCAAAGTGAACACTTAGCCTCACCACAGATCACAGGTCATTCTATGTCATGGTCAGGGTTTCTTAGTCTTTTTCTGCACTTCTTGAGGAAGTGGAATCTTAGACACTGCAGTAAGTAGCACCTGTTCTGTTGTTTAAGTTGGATTTGATAATATCCTCACTAAGGATCAGCAAGAGAACCCCCTGCAACTCTAAGGGTTCTGAGTGGGTTGGTGAGGACCAAGCAGGCAGGAGTGCAGCAAGTCTGTAACTGCCACTTGGTGAGAGGCACCACTTGGTGAGGCATTTGTTCATGTTCACTCTTGCTCTGGGGCTGCTGTCAGATAGCAGCCTCCAGCTTAAGCACTGGCTGTTCCAAAGAAAAGCAGTCCCTGCCGCTGACTCTTAAGTCATGTCCACAAACCTCTAGGCTTATGGTTTCATGAATGGCTGAGCTTTTCAAATAGAGTATTAGGCAGGTGAAATTCAGTAAATGTTGACCCCTGTGTGCCTGGAAGCCATATGCATCCTGCTTATTAATAGTGACTGGCATTGACACATGGGAGGACACCCAGTGTCCTGTGCTTTGGCAGTGCTGGTGTGTAAGCAGTTACCTCCGCACACCTGAGGGCTCTGAGAGATTACAGGGAGGAGTTCCTGGATCAGCACTGTAGCATCACACCCTTCCCAGCGTTTCCTTGGCAACAAACAGTATTTCCAGCCCAGCCTCACCCCCGGTTCACATTTGCCCTTTTCTACTGTATTCCACAGCACAGCCATGCGGGCATCATCCATGTTCATGGGGCTCCGTCAGGCTCCATCTGAGATCAGGAGACAGTAGAGAGAACAGATGGAGCAAACAAAGAAAACAGAATTGTGTGTTCCACAACATGACTCTGGGTGTAGCCGTGTTGCCCTTGCAGAATCCTGAAGGCATTCTTTCCTACAGATGAACTGCCCAACCCCTAAAGATGTCACACAGCTTTACCACAGTCAGTGTGATCCTTGGGGTGGCACCAGGATTGTAACCCAGATTGACCTCACTAGGAACTCATACTCTTAGCTACCATATAATCTCAAACCACATCACATAGGTTCCTGTATAACTACATATGTATGCAGGTAATATGCTTTTTACATACTGAACAAAGCCATTGCCAATTCCTGTGGTAAGGCATCCCAAAAGGAAAAAAATAGTTAGCTAAAATCCCTGCACTTCTAATCATGACAGGACAGATGCTCAAGGGCCTAGGATTAAAGCACCTAGGTCAAGGTATCCAGACATTTAGTATTTATAAGTGTGGCTGGTGAGTCACATGATACAAACCTTATTTTCCTAGGATGTTGCCAGAATACTCTGGTTCTTCTGCTTGGAGTAATTTTGTGACCATTCTGATATGAGTCTCTAGGTGTGAATGCAGGAAACAGAGGGAATAGCTTTCTACAGCTGAGGCTGTTTGGATCCAGCCTCCCTGGTTCTCTCCTCCTTGTGCTGTGACCTTGCATGTCTCTGACACCTTCCTGTCTTAGTTTCCTCCTGTGTAGTGAGATTGTAAAATGAATAGATGTAGGGAAAGCCCTGGGACCAGCACCAGGCAGAAAGCCATGACCACAACACTCAAGAATGTGGTAAATCCTTGCACAAAACTCTTTAGAAGCCATCCCCTAGGGGGATTCTGTTGCAATATCTAGCATGCAGTGATACCCTGGGTAGACACTTATGTGGACTTCTGGGCAGAGCACACATCCAAAGAGAGAAAGGAATTGAGTGACCCACACCTGCTGTATGTCAGCTGCTCTGTTGAAGAAATGATCATTACACACCTTAATATCCTGAAGAAGGGATGCAGTGACAACCCTGAGAGGTAAGCTATGCCTTTCAGTCCTCTCCCTCCCAGTCCCAAGGCACAGATATGCTGGGGAACTCTGCCCTATCCAGTGTGGCACTGGAGTCTGGGCCTCAATAGACTTTGCTTTGAATATACCTGTCTGTCTACCTGACAGTCTTGGATGACACCTTCCCTGGTGTCCCTGTGAGTCCCTATTGATAGGGAGGTGAGAGGTAGGAGGTGGGCAGCCAGCAGCCTGCAACCTACAGTTCTGTCAGCTGAAAGGAATTCTTGAAAAGCACAAATATAGCATGGCTATAAAAAGATAAAGGTGCACTGCTCTGAAAACAGCCAGTAGGAAGTGCCACCATGGTCAAGTGGGGAAGCAAACTTTGCAAAACTGGAAAACCAGGGAAAGTAAGGCTAAGGAGAGATGCTGACAAGCCCGAGACTACAGCCAGCCAGGCCTGAACGGAAAGCTGGCCAGCAGAAAGTGATGAGGCTCCCTGAGGGATTCCAGTGAGTGCTTTCTTGGGAAGCATGACAGGGTCCTGGGGACCAGTGTGCTGTCACTGTGAGCTGGGGTGGCTCTGCAGAGCTGAGGTGGAGGGCTGGGAAACGCCCTATGTGGCCTATGGGCTTCCGTTCTAAGCTCCACTGTCCTCCTCTCTCCCTTTTCTCTAGACCCACCCGCTCTGTGACCTCCCCAGCCTGTGGCTCAGATCTTCAAGACAGAGCTCCCAGTGATGCTGGCCTGCACGGCTGCTGCTGAGGACAAAGCCAGGGCCTTTCCTGACTTTTGTTTTGAGGTAATCATACTACAGGCTCTTACCTCACTGTAAACCCTGCCTGTAGCTCTAAAGTTGTAATCTTAATTCAACGGTTGCTATTCTCTGTGTGGCCTGACCCCCAGAAACTGGGTAAAGAGCTGCACAGATAGAATGTCAGAGGGAACCTTGGGGGCCTGCCGATGCTGTCCTCACTGAACTGTGTTCTTGTATGAGAGAGCGAGACCCTGCAGGTAAGACGGAAGGATAGGCAAGATAGCAAAACAGCTGTGTGTGTGTGTGTGTGTGTGTGTGTGTGTGTGTGTGTGTGTGTGTCCTGCCCCCCAACCTGAAACAGAAGCAGAACCCTGAGGCCTTTTTGAAATCTAAAAGGCTCTCACATCACCAACTTTAAAAAAAATTACACGTATATTGTGCATGTCCCTGCCACAGTGTGTGTATGGAGGTCAGAGAACACTTGCAGGCATCAGTTCTATATTCCACCATGTGGGATCCAGTGAGTGTGCCTTTTCCTGCTGAGCCATTTCATCAGCTCATTCACTAACCTCGGCACAGTAGTGACAAGCCTGTTTCTATAGACCTCAGCTGTGGACAGGGCATCCTGGGTAAATGGTAAGCTGCTTGTAGACATCCCAGCAGTCTCAGGTATACCAGTGCTCTCCTGACCTGCCGCCAGCACGGAAGAGAAAAGCTCTCCTCCAGGGTGTGCATTCATTCTTTTAGCATGTCATTTTACTTTAGGTGGTGACACAAAAGCCATGGTTTTTGGAGTTGCTGTTGCTGCTGCTGCCATTCTCTAGCTCAGGAGCAGTTAGGCTTCTTGGTACCACTGCCCAGCATTCCATCTCCCAGTGTCCGTGCTTTCTGCCCAGGTGAGCGGGTTCAGCATTGCTATCCAGTGCTGGGGAGCTCAGGGTCTATTGATTACTTCTGAAGAAGCATGCCTACTACCCATAATTCACCATGTGAAAAACTTCAGCTTGGCCTCAGAGCTCTATGCCTCTTGGGTGACATTTGCTTTTGGAAGTTCATAAATACACTTGTGACTTTGAAAGTTTTGAAGTCGCTTGGCTTTGTTACAGACCTGAGCTTCATCCTCTCCAATACAGGAAGTCCTTGTGGCTCTCCATCAATTCCTTGCTAACTTCCTCTGTTACTTACCATGTTAGCTGACATCTGCCAATTGCTACGCACAGGGATGGGGTGCTTGAACCTGACCTGTATACCAGTGGAATGTTTTCTAGTAAGTTCTATGAATTAGCTTTCTAGGTGTGGATATCCTTGGGAAGAAATGTAGAGCTGGACCTGTTCTTTGGGATCTGCTCGGTGAGCATGATGGGTATGCGAAGGACTTTGGAACTGTCCCCTTGTGTGATCCTGTGGCCGTGTGTACATGTGGTCTCAAGGGGTGCTCGAAGGCTCAGCCACAGCAGGGAGGATTTCTTTAGGGGTTGAGGTTCCTACTCTGACCAATAGTAGCCATGAAGTGTTTTGTTTTGGAGACAGCATTTCTCTATATAGTTCTGAGGCTTGCCCTGAACTCACAGAGCTCTGCCTGCCTCAGCCTCCCAAGTGCTAAGATTAAAGGTGTGCATGATCACACCCCACCAAGTTCGAATTTCCATATCATTGAATTCTCTTTCTAATTTGTGTGCCCCAGCCTCTATAACGAATTTCTACCTCTATAACTTATATCATTCCTACGCATATCTGAAGCCCTGCTGAGGTCTAGGCCTGCCATGCCTAGAAATGTGGCCACTGCTTCCGTGAAGCCAGTAAACTTTCTCACAGGTCCCTTTATGTTACCTGTGTCCAATTTAATTTGCCCGTACCTCTCTAGAGTTATTTCTTGGACCTAGCTAACCCTGAATTTGATGGTACAGCAAATAGAGTCTCCTGAGAAGGCGCCCTGTCTGGTCTCCAGCAACAGTACCAGTGCTTCCTCTGAACCTCCTGATACTTAGGTGTGGTCCTAAGCCAACAGTTCAAGGTTTCTGCACCTCAGCTTCGTCCTCAGCGGAATGTGATGACCAGGAGGAGCTCTCAAGATGGCATTTGTACAGTGCCTAACCCAGTATGGCACACAGCTGTCACCGTCCCTGCCCACTTCCTCAGGTCCTTCCAGTGGTCTGTCTAAGCTTTGTTTTCCTTCTGGCACATCCTGTCCTGGACCCTTACCCAAATGAAAATCAGACCAGAAAACAGAACCAGTGAAAGTGTTTTTAATAGTTAAATTATTTAAATAGACTTTTCAATTTCCATGGGAAATCATAATTGTATCATTTTTGCAAGAGCAGGAATAAAAAGAGTGCACACACCCCTTAGAGGGAACGAAGAGCTAGCACTGCACGCTGTCACCAGTCACTGCTGGAGTGGGGAGGAGCCTCCACGGGAAAACACAGTATAAACTCAGCACACACACTGTACTCTGGTTGGAAGCTAAACAAAAACCCACTGGCATTGGCAGGACATGTGGAGGGCCAGGGACTTGAGAACAGTGCGAGGGAAGCAGCCCCTGTCCCAGAGGCGAGGGCAGTGCAGAACTCGAGTGGAATGGCAGAGCACAGAACAGCTGCAGGGGCGGCAGCTCGGGGTCCATACTTTATTTCTCAGGGCTGGAGGATGGTGAAGGACATCAAAGTAACATTGAGCTGGCACTTGACTGCCACCTCACCTTACTCTCCTGTCAGAGGGGAGAATAATTGCACCCTGAGAAGCAATGAGAAGATCTGGGCACGGACAGGACGGGTGCTGTTCAAGTTTATCTGTGATAGAATGTCGGTTTTCAAAGGTGCTCTTGGAAACTACAAAAACAGTGTTTTCTCCTCAGGACATTTAACCGTCCCCTCCCACTAAAACCAGAGAAAATTTCCCTGTGTCTGGGGGTGGAAGGCAAGACTACACCATTTCCCTAAACCAGGACCTATATATAGATTGCATCCCCAGGTCATAGGGACCCTTTCCAAGACAGCCCCCTGCACCTGGGCCAGCTGAGGAGGCTGTAAAGGCTGGGCTTCCTCCAGCCCTGGCCACTGTTGAGCTCCTAGGTAGCCCCTTTGTGAGGGGAGGGACCCATGCAACAGCTCTGGGATGGAGCAGAAGAGCAGTACTAGTAAGTGGAGAATGCTTGGACACCGCCTGGACCGGAGCAGTGCCTGTGTCTTCTTCTGATGGCATTTGTTTACTTGGGAAATGGGATGTAAGGTGGGATTAGAAAGAGGGACTAGTGTGGTACCCCAAAACAACACACACCCCTGCTCTGGCTGTGCCTAGAAAAAACAAAGCCTGCCAAGTCTGCGATGAGGGGAACACACCCTTCAGGGATTGGCTCCACAGTATGAACACACACGTACACCAGTGCACACGCTGACAGACAGACGTACAGTACAGAGGAGCAGAAATGCCCTGCTGGGCACAGCTGTTTCCTAATAGAGTGTACAAAATATAGAATTTGGTATATTTGTTAGATCTCCAAGGTTTCAATAATACAAAATAAAAAATACAAAAAGACAAGTTGGGGTTCCCACCTCCCTACCCCAGGGGCCTCCTCGTTTGCTTGTGTGTCTCTTACACACATACAACTAGCATGTCTAAAGAATGGCAGAGAAAACTTGTTCTGTTTTATTTAATAAATATTTTCTTTTGCTCAGAGCCACTGCTCCTTGCCTGGTGTCCTCCTGCCTCCCCCTTGTCAGTAGTCCTGTTTCCCTTACAGGGCATTGTCTGTGTGCATGGAGGTGTGGGGAGAGGACAGCATGGGCCACACCTCTCCCAGTTCTGCCCCCAAACGTTGGGATGGCCTCTCCACAGTGGAAAAGCAGACCCTTGAGGTCCATGGAGGCCTCCCCTCAGGCCAGCCACTGTGTGCCATGCCATGCCACCAGTGAAGGCTCCGGTAGCACCTCCACCATGTGGCAGCAGCATTTGTCAGAAAACTCAAGATTTAACTGAGTCCAGCGGAATCTTCTGCCAAGGGGAACATCTTTGGTCAGCTCGGTGCTCGCAGGACGCTGGCACCCTGGGCCTAGGCCAAAAGCCATGCCCACCAGCAAAGGCAGAAGTTGCTTCTGAGTCAAAGTGGAAATTTTACCAGTGCAGCTATGGGCTGGGCGCACAGGCCCCATCTGCCCATGGTGCACAAAGAAGCTGTTCCAATCCTCTGGAGGCCAGGATGCTGGCACCTCTGGCTGGTATCTGCTAACTGAGGGGAGGCCCTCCATTGAGGAAGTAGGTCATCATCTCACCCTTACCCTTGACCTTGACCACACCCCGGCACTCCAGCTGGTATGTGTTGGCGGCCAGCACCTGGTACATATCTGTAGTAACCTGAGGAGGCATAGGAAGGGAGAGGACGGGTTGTCAGTGACCCCTGTGTGCCTATGCCCCGTTTCTGTCCTGACATGAGAGTAGGGAAGACCCTCCACCACTGGCTCTTGGAGACAATAAGGGGCTCATCCATGGAATGGCAAGTATCTAGGAATTTGTCACATAAGTGCTACTTGGAGCACGGGCTGGGGTTCATAAACTGCTTCCAGTAGAGCTGCCTCCATGACAGAACAGAGAGCCGCCTCTGGTCTCATTTAATCTCTTTATAGGAAACTATTATTCCCATGCCCAAGGCTCAGGAAATGTGTATTCCCCTCCTGTGGTTACAGTGAGCAAATCATAGAACCTGGATGTCACTCCAGAGCCAGAGTTGAGGCCTGTGTTTCTTAGTTCTGCAGACTAAGAAGACTCCCTGGGGTTTCATCAGTTATGTCCTGTGGGGGTGAGAGGGGCGAAGGATGGGTGGCACAGAGGCATGCTGAGTACTGTCAGAACTCCCAACTGTCTGGGTTGCCATGCAGCTGCTGGGCAGCAGGAAGTTAGTCACTCTCTCTACATACCTACAGCCTTTCTCCTCCTCAAGCCCACAGTGGGGAAAGGTCTGGTACCTTGGACAGCACCCACAATTCCATAGGCCGACTCTATCTGGATAGGTCAGACAACTGAGGGAACATTCAAGTGGTGTAATACATCAAAAATACCTTTGAAATTGTACTGTTAGCATTTGTAAAAGCAGGCCCGGGAAGCGGACTTCCCACAGCTTCACCAGGACCTTCAGGTGTGTGTGTGTTAGTACAGCTTTTATGACAATGGAACATGAATCAAGTCTGAAAGTGAAGGGAGGGACTGAAGAGCTGCAGGCCTAGGAATCAGCACCAGCTTGCAAAGGGTGGAGAAGGGGGAATTCCTATTGCTCTTGGATGTTGGATCTCTTAAAGACACCAGCAGCCTCACCAGCCCAGGAGAACTGCAAGTCCCACTGGGTAAACATTTGTTCCCTGCAGCTGTCTGCATCCTCCTGTATGCCTGGACTGGTGAGGCCCAGGCTTCTCATTAGCACTCTTAGAGAGGCCTGCCCCACCAATTCCTTCTGTGCACAGTAGAGGATCTATGGACGCCTGAGCCCTGTCCAAGGTACTGAAGGACTGACCCAACCCCCTTTCCAAAACTCTGGCCCCCTGACTGCCACTTCCGCTCTTGAATCTGAAGAGAAACTTTAACTGTGAACTCTGTGTGGTCTGCAGTGAAAACCTCCTAGCACCAGGGCAACAGAGGCCTTCCATGTGAATGCCGTGAATGATAGCTGTGTTTGCACTCACCTGGATGCGGTCAGGCACCCCAGTGCTGTCCATACGGCTGGCCACATTTACTGTATTGCCCCAGATGTCATACTGCGGCTTGCGAGCCCCAATGACCCCAGCCACTACTGGTCCAATGTTGAGCCCTGTGTGGATAGGAATCAACCATACTCATCAGCTTACAGCACACATACCCTGCTTGCTATTGCCAGCATCCACCTTTTGGACATTGTGGGTGCTCCTCATTCCTGCTGAACTGAGGCTAAGCTTAATCCCTGAGTCACACACTTTTCTGCACTATCCATGGTTCAAGAAAGCAAGGATCTGTGCACACACATCTGTGGGACTGTGAAGGGTAGACTGGTTCCCGGTTGAGCTAAGGCTAGAAACCCCGGAGACCTCGAAGGGACTGTAAATGCTTTCACCTATCCCCAGACACCAGGCCTCTGTCACAAGCTGTGGCTCCCCATAGATTTGCGGCCATCAGTCACATAAGGGCAACACCCCAACCCCCTCCACAGGTAGAGGACATGACCTGTGGTCACATAGGCTCAAGACAGATCTCCACTTTAATGAGGTACATAGAGGTCTAGAGGACTTAGCCAATAAACTCTCCTTCCCAGACACGGTATTTAACCTCAGGCCCGCCCTAAGAAGTGAGGTATGGTTTTACTCATCCACCTTCTACCATGACAATAAATGCCTTAAAACCATAGACTGCCTCTTTTCATCGGGATCCACTATGGGAGCGATGGAGAAGACCTTCACCTATAGAGCCACTGTCTAATCTCCCATAGAAGACCTCTCTGCACTCCCAGCCATGGCCAGCACCAAGCTCAAGCCTGTCGGCCCTGGGCTAGATCCAGCCCATGGGCCCCCACTCTGTTCTCAGCTCTTCTGCGGCTCCCAGTGGTGCCTGGGTGTCTGAGAGCCTGAGAATCAGATGGCCCCAGCCTCGTCACAGGCCCCAGGACCCCCGAGCCAGCTCTGGCTGTCCCAACCATCCCTGGAGTGGTCTCCCATGGCTTCCCTACAGCCCAACACCTGCCCTCCCGGTGACAACGTTAGGTAAACAAGGTCAAAACTTCCTATGTCCTGCCTCCGCTGAGCCCTGTGGCAGAGCAGATGTGGCACTCCATAACCCTACATGCATCCACTGGTACTGTGTCCTTATCTCAACCTTTAAGTCTTTTGCCATAGGTACCATCTTCAAGGTCTCCAGGGATGTCCAGCATGGCCCAATACCTTCTTTTTACATGTATTTTATTCAAGTATCTGTGTGAGCATGTGGTACATGCACATGAGGGTGTCTGCAGAGGCTAGACGAGGGTATCTCAATACCCTGGAGCTGGAGTTAAGGGTGGCTTGGTGGGCTTGGGTGCTGGGTACATTGTAAGTGTTCTTTAACCAACCACTGAGCCATCTCCAGCTGCCCAATGCCTTTTTTTCTTATTCTTCCCTCTTGATGACATATTTCAGCACCAACTCAGAGGACAGCGCAAGCTTACTCCCCCTCTTTCTTCCTCCCTAGCCCATTGTTCCTAGGCCAATCCATTGTCCCAGTTTTGTCCACTTCCAAATCCCGTCATAGCACATGTGGCTTTTTAAGCCCACATGCTATTTCTATGCTAGACTGACCACACTGCTGACCACACTGGGCTCAGATGGCTTCTGTTCCAGAGACCATGCCACCAAAAATGCTTAGCTGCCCGCTGGAAGAGTCTGTCATCCCCTCCCCAGTCTGGTCCAGTCCAGTTGTTGAGACGGGTTACCAGGAGACTACAAAGGACTGTAGCAGGGTGAGTGGAGCAACATTACATGAAAGAAAGGGCAGAGTTAACACAGGCACATGCTGCATGTGTGGGCTACAGCAGATGCCTGACCTACAGCAGTTAAATCCAATTCACAAACCACTGTGCCCAGAGGGCAAAATAAGCAGCCTATTCAGGGATAGCCCAATTCCCGACACTTGGGCCAGAACAAAATATCTCCTGGGGACATTAAGGATCACAATATTGGTTTTAAGTGATGTAATATTTCAATCTAATGTGCTAATTTTGAGAATTGAAATGCCAGTATTTTTGTGAATTACTGTTACTGAAAAAAAAAAAGACATGTGAATCATTTATGACTTGAGCCATAGTCAGGGAGTTGATAATGCATGAAACTTTTGACTAGAACAAAGGCCTACTGTTTTAGAAAACGTTTCCCACTGCTACAAACCTCAAGAGAAGGGAGACTGCCCTCAACTCCGTCCCCTTAGCAAACAAAATGAACGGCTATTGAGAGTGAGCAGCAGCGAGGGAAATGTGCTGCAGAGTAGCCCTGTGCCTTCTAGAACAGGGCACTCAGAGCTGCGGATGGGGCGGGGTTTGGGGGGTGAGCTCAAAGATGGGTGTTTGCTCTCTCTGTACTGTTCTTTCTGCTCTTTTGGAGAGTTGGATAAAATGGTTAGGGTAAGCCTGGCAACCTGAGCTCAATCTCCAGGACATACATGGTGGAGGAAGGAGAGAACTGATTCCTGTAGGTTATCCTCTGACCTCCACATGCACACACACAAAATAAGTAAATAAGCTCCCTTTGCCAATGATGGATCCCAAAGGTATAACTCAGTAGAGCATTTGTCTGAAAGACATGAGACTCTGGGTCCAATGCTCAGTACTGGAAACAAACGCACGAGATGCAGTCAAGTGAAGCCTGGCACCCTCCCTACTGCCTACCCAAGTGTGTGTGGACCACCCAGCTCTCAGAGTAGCTGCTAGGGCTCACACTGAGAACTCAGTGGTACCTTGCCCGCTTGCTTTAAGATTACCCTGCTTTAGGGACTACAGAGATAAATAGCACTGGCTGTTCCTCTGGAGGACCTGAGTTCAATACCCAGCACCCATTCACCATCCAGTTCACAACCATTTGTAACTCCAGTTCCAGGGATCTGACACCCTCTTTCCAGATTCTGCAGGCACCAGGCATACACTTGGTGCATAAACATGTATGTAACAGAACTCATACAAGAAATATTTTTAAAGA